GAGCACATTAGGCAGTCGCCATTTTTGGTGACACTGCACTATGCTTTCCAGACAGAGACCAAACTTCATCTCATCTTAGGTAAGTGTCCATTGTTGTCATACTTTCTATGAGAACATTTTTCTTTAGGTCTTGAGGCAACATAGTATGGACATAGAACATAGAATAAATTGTTTTGCCTCTCATTCTCTTTGTGGTGACATTTCTGTTAGCGTCTTGCTTTGGAAGTGAGGCCCCCAGCATGAAGAAATTTGTATACCACTTTTCCACACTCCCTGGTTATTCAATGTGCATCTAAGCAATGCAAGGAACTTGATGGCCAGGTGGGCTCTGATTTGTGCTTTAGTTCTCAAGAGTGTGCAGGTTTGGGCTGACAGGACAGCTGTGTAATCCAGTGGTTAGGCCTAGTCTCTGTCTTTCTCTGTATCTATCTGTCTCTTTCTCTCTCTCTCCGAATCAAGATGTAGCACTCTCAGTTACTGCTCCAGGGCCTGCCTGTATGCTTTCCGTACTCCCTGCCATGACCAGGAAACTGTAAGCACGCCCCCAATTAAATGCTTTCTTTTATAAGAGTTGCCTTGGTTATGATTGTCTCTTCACAGCAATAGAACAGTCAGTAAGACATTTCCTAACTAATATGTTTTTATTTTACTCATTACTCAGTTGTTGAATTTATCTATAGCTGTCAAACAAACCACCTAGAATGGAGTAGCTAAACGATGATTTATTTTCTTAAGATTCTGGGGAGCTGGGAAAGGCATTTCTCTACGGCTTTAGGCTGTTCTCACTTACATGGCATGTAGTAGAAGAGCTAGCCGGGTCAGAAGATCCATGGTAGACAGAGTTTCCTATCTGGCAATTAGTGCTGTTGTTGGCTGGGCCGCCTCGTTTCTCTCTAGTGTGGCCTCCCATCCTTTAGTACAGCGGGTCAGCTTCTTCATCCTGGCAGCTTGAGAGCAGCACATGAAGTCTGCTGAGAGTGGAATAGGGGAGGTTGAACAGCCCATCCAGGAACTCAGGCAGTCTTTCTGTCAACACATGATCAGCCTAGATTTGTATCTTGCTGGAGGGCAACTGCAAAGAGTTTGTGGTCAGCTACCAAACAAGTCTGTGTTCAGACATAACAAATTACAAATGGTTTGTCCAGTCCAGGAAAACTTCCTTGCCTATGTCTTTTAGATTATTTTTACTTCTACTGAATTTCAGTATTTGGGAAGTTAGATATAAAGGTTAGATTGAAGTTAGACATTTGGGGCTGGACTATACAGTAAGAATATTTCATATTGTGAAGCATTAGAAGAAATCTGTTATCTGGTTGTTACTAGTTCAGAAATGCTAAAATTGGATTAGTAGATGACTATATGAGTCCTTCATTATAATCTTATATTTTTCCCCTTAAAAGTAAATTCGTCCTGTGTGGTATTTTGAAACTATATGATTTTAGCATACTAAAGCATGGTTAATATAACAAAACAAGTTATATCAGCTTCATACCAATTCTTAAAGATTTTCCTTGGTCTTTTAAATTTCTGCGTAGTACTCCATTCCACTTCATTGTGTTCTTGTGTAGTTCCCTATGACTGGATTCTTAAACTGTTGTTTGTTGTTTTGTCTTATGTTGTTCCTTCAGGGTTTAACTTGTACATGTATTGTTTTCAAGTTTAATAGAAAAATCATTTGGGCAGAATCTGTATTGTAACCATCTGTGATTGTGTCAAATACATTGCATTCATGTGTGTGTTTCTGTAGTTGGTGTATCATCAAATTTCTGGATGTTTGTGCATTTTTTAAATGGAGAGCAGTGTGTCACTGTAGGGTCAACTTTGTTTTTATTTTCTCTCCTGAGGCTGGCATCTTTTTATATTCTTGAAGAGCCATATAATATGTTCTGAGTTTGTATAGTTCTGAGAATTACTTCTTTGTATTCTTTGCTCGTTTTTTTCTTCTCAGTTTCTAGGACCTCTTAGAAAGATTTGCTGTTTGTGATAACTATTTCCCCTTTTTTACTTTTTCACTTTGTTTACAATGCTTTTATCAAACAAACTGAATTTTATATATAGTAGAATTTATTTTTAAAATTGTCCTTATGACCTCAATTTTGAGTCATAATTGAAAGACTTTCTGTTCTCTTAAGTTTAGAAAGGAATTTGCTGGTTTCCTTTTTCTTTAGTATTTGCATGGTTCTTGTTTTTGTTTGGAGAACTTTGAACCACATAGAGTTTTTGTTTGAGTATGACAAGAAGTAAGGATCCAGCTTTTTAGACAGCCACTCTGTTTTCCCGCATTATTGAGAGAAAAGCTCATTCTTTACTCTGACTCGAGCCTTTTTCATCCATGATCGTTTCATGTGTGTTTGGATATATTTCTTGACCTTCTCTTCTGTTCGGCTTATTCAATAATGCTGAGCTCCATACTGGAATACCTTTATATAGGCATTACAGCATATTCTAGTATTCAGTAATACCAGTTCTCCAACAACCCTTGCTTTTTGTTGCTGATGGTCAGAACTTTATGGAGGGCTATTTCCTGTTATTTTTCCACATGAGATTTATGGTAAAATTGTCTTGTTTTAAGGGGGAGAAAAAAATTTGATAGTGGGTTTTACTGGTATTTCTTTAAATTAAAAAATGAACTTTGAGCGAGCTGATACTTTGATGACACTGGCTAGTCCTGTTCAAGAAGATGGTCGGTCCTTGCTTATAGGAATCTGCATCTGAGATCTTCAAGAGTGTTTGAACATTTTCTTTCTACCTGTGTGTCTTGGATTAACATTGAACTTCCTGTCATTGCTATTGTAAACACCACCTACTGTATCTTATAGCTGAAGGCTTCACTTTTTTTACAGTAATTTTATACCTTGAGATCTTACTGCCTTATTCCTTCTCAGCCTGCCCTAGGACATGTTGTTGGTTTCTGTGACTTTTCTGTATCTCTTATTTTCGTGAACATTTAACTCAAGGAGATTTATAGCCATCCCTGCTGTTTTTCAGGATGTTTTAGAGATTCAGATCTAGGCTAACATCAAATCATGGCTCACTGCAGAATGCTTGACAGGGCTTACTCCAAGGGGATAAAATTTGCTTGGTTGGCACAGGCTTCTCCAAATAAGATAATTATAATGATAGTAGTATCTTACCAGATGCTATCTGTGACATTTGTTTTTAGTAGCCAGTTATGGAATAGACTAACGTTTCTAACAGAACTGAGCATGTATGATTGCTTCCCACAATAAGCTCTAATTATAATTATCTCTCATTTGTTTATATTCTATCTGCCATTCTCTAAATCAGTAGGCAGTACTTTTTCTGACCAGTAAAGGGCCAGATGGTAACTATTTTAAGCTTTGCAAGCTTTTCAGTCTCTTTGACCATAGATTGTAGTAAACAAATAGGCAGAGTACAGTTCCAAAAAAATTTTACTTATAGAATTGGTAGGGGACTAGATTTTTCTTCTGAGTTGTTATTTGACAACCCTTGTTCTAAACCCATCTCTTGATGTACACACACACACACACACACACACACACACACACACACACACACACACACATCTGAGTGCGCACATGTGGAATCCAGAGGTTGTTGACATTAGGTATTGTGCACAGTCTATCTCCACCTTATCTTTTGAGACAAGGTCTTTCACTGAACCTGGATCTCATCAGTTAGGCTAGACTGGGGACTCAAAAGGCCCCATAGGGATTCTTTAGTCTTGGCCTCCCCAGCTTCAGGATTATAGGTGTGTGCCTCCATATCTGGCTTTTTATGTGGGTTCTGGAAGTCTTCCCATACTAGCAAGGCATTTACTCACTGGGTCATCTCTCCAGCCCAATTAAGTCACATTTGTGTTTAAATGTTTAAAATGTTGCTCTATAGCATTAATAGCTCTTTAGGCTCCATCTTAACTGTATGGAGTTTTTCCCTTTATATTTCTTGCAGCTTTTCCAAATCTTACAACATGGATAGCTTACTCTTTTATAACTTTTCTCTCTACCTGTGTTGATACAAGAAATATAAAAACATTTTCATCTATGCTCTCTTTTGGAGCTTATATTATTTCAACAGAAATTAGAATTCTATGTGGGAAATAATCTGAACAAAACAGTTTCTCTTTTAGTAGTCTCTGAAAATGGTGATTTTTTTTCAAAACACCAGCTAATGTTTGACTTTAATAATCAAGTTAATCAGAGGGATTTATCAGACATCAAAGAAGCAAGTTTCAAGTGTATTTATAAGGGTGATGCCAAGGAATATTCCTAACGAATGCTACATCAGTCTTGTAGACAGTTCTGTCCTCAGGTGTTATCATTTCAATGGGAGTTGGATGTTTAAGACATTAGAGTTCACTTTTGAGTTTGAGTTTCATCTCAGAAATTGCAAAGGTGTTGATGCTTGATGAGATGGTAACAATGGTTCATTGTGCGTTGTAGTCACTAATGTCACAGAACAGACAGAAACTGCTGCCAGACGTTCCTTCTTTTAAGTAAATACAGCTAATTCTCAAGACTGAGAAGGCTTTCTGTGGTGGCTGTGATAAGCTGTAAGGTGTCATAGTATGGGGTGAGTGGAGGGGGGGGTTGCACATGAAACGTGAAACAGAAAGGGTAGAGTGTGTGACTGGAGAGTGAAAACAGAAGAGAGGCTTTCCTTGAAAGCAGGAGGTTGGAGTTGGGCTGTCAGCTCTGCTGCTTGCCTCCCACAAGTAGACACCACTGAAGCAGCTCTCTGGCTCCACCTGTGGTTCTGCTGCTGCATCCTTAGTGGGAAGCTGCAGTAAGGCGATTCCATAGGTTCTCAGCAGTCCTTTAAGCCTGTCGCACATCCGCACTTGCTGATAAAAGCAAAGGAACATGAGGTAGTGGGGAGATTTCTGTAGCATTCAGCATTAAGTGCTGTGTACAGAGGTCATGAAAACCTGTAAGTGTGCTCCCTTTCAACAGAGGGAGTTCTCCACTTTGCTCCAATACAAAGACTTCTTGCTAGAGATGTTAAAGAGTGCCAGGAGAGTGCTCAATTCAGTAGCACATATACTAAAATTGGAACGATACAGAGAAGATTAGTATCCTGTACAAGGATAATAGGAAAATTCACGAAGCATTCCATAGTTTTAAAAAAGAGTGCCTTGAGAAAAAGTTGTTACAAATACAGCAGTTTTTGACCTTTTTGTTTTGAAATGTACCAAGTGGATAAATAATAGTCTATGCTTAAAAGACAAAATTGTGATTGAGAACAAGTATTCTTTTTAACTTAATGAAAATACTGATTTTTTTTTATTCATAGCAAGTGACTTTATTTGCAGTGGCTGTTCTCTGTTTAATATACACTTGAAAAGTTTTGATTTATGTTATCTGTTCTTCAGAATAACCCTGTAGATTATGGTTACTTCCTTGTTTTTAATTTGACAGTTTCATACTTGTATATAAGTAATTTTAGTTATTCTCACCTCCCCATATTCCCTTCATTATTATCTCCAGCTTCTTCCACTGAAACCTTTCTTCTTCCCAATAAGCCTCCTTCCTACTTTCATGTCTTTTAATGCATTTGACCCATGGAATTTAAATGGGGCTCCTGCATGAGCCTGGTTAGGTTATTTACTAGGCAGCTTTATATCACCAAAAAGAGTGACACTCCTTTCCCCCAGCCACCATTAACTCAGTAACCCCTCAGGGAGGGGTGTGGCCTCATAAGCTCTTACCCCTTCTGTGATGAAATTTTGATTGAAATTTGATGAAATCTTGTACAGGTAACCATAGTTCATGAGTACATAAGGTATGTCATGTTCAGAAGACATTGTTTTGCATTAGGCTTCCCCAGTATGACTCTTAAATTCTTTTTGCCCTTTATTCCATTATGTTCCCTTAATCTTGGGAGTGAGTATGTATGTATGTATGTATGTATGTATGTATGTATGTATGTGTGTATGTATGTGATATACATGTCCTTTTAACAACTGAGCACTCCATAGTCACTTTCTCTGCACTTTAACAGTGGTGAGTCTTAATATTTTAACTGTGTGCACTACAAAAAGAGCCTCCTCTGTTGAGGGCTGCACTCATCTATGAGTGCAAAGGTAAGTATTTAGAAGGCAGTTTGGTACTATGTATGTTTAGCAAAATAATAATAGTAAGTTCTCCTCTTAGAACTATGGTATCCACACCATGGGTTCGTGGCTGGGTTTACATGACTAGACAAGAGTTCCATTCTGTGTAGCAGGCCTTAGATCCAACGGGAAGGTGGTATGTTGCCCCCATAGCATTCATGCCAATGTTGCAACAATCATATACCAGATGGATTGTTATTGTAGCTCATAGAGTTTATCTTTGGATAAGACTCTAGATGACTTCTCTTCTAGGAACCTTCATAGAATCTCTTATACCTAAAGTTTCATCCCTGTCTTCTCTCTGTCTGCAATGGCTTATCTGACTTAACTGAAAATAAATCAGATCTAGTTGCTACAAACTCACATTTTCTTCCACTCTCCTTCTTACTTTAAAATTATTTATATCTCAAGCCATGTGTAGTGGCGCACGCCTTTAATCCCAGCACTTGGGAGGCAGAGGCAGACAGATATCTGTGAGTTCAACGCCAGCTTGGTCTACTGAGTGAGTTCCAGGACAGGCACCAAAGCTACCCAGAGAAACCCTGTCTCGAAAAACCAAAAAAAAAAAAAAAATTATTCATATCTTGGGACTGCCTCATAGATTGGCAGTGAGTAAGGATGTTGATTGTGATGGTTAGTGTTGATTGTCTACTTGACAGAATCTCCTTGGAAGATGGGCCTTCAGACATGCCTGTGGGAATTATATTGATTATGTTGATATGGGAAGACACACCCACTGGGTGACACCATTCCATGGATGAAATCCTAAACTATATAAATGTAGAAAGTGAGCTGAGCAGCAGCATGTATTTTTCCTTCTCTGCTTCCTGATTGGATGTGTTGTAACCAGGTACTTCAAGTTCCCACACTTTGGCTTCCCTGCTGTGGATTGTATCGTTGAACTATGAACCAGAATAATCGCTTTTCTCCTAAAATTGTTTTTGTCAAAATATTTTATCAAAACAATAGGAAAAGAAATTAAGACATTGATAATAACAAGAGTTACAACTTGTTTTAGGACACACTGTTGATGTTGACAAAGTGATTTTATTTTTAATTATGTGAATATGTGTGTGGATTTGTGCATGTGGGTGCAGTGCCTAAAAAGTAGAAATGAGGGATTCAGACCCTCTGGAGCTGAAGTTTTAAGTGGTTGATAACCCCCTGACACCTGATGGGGGAGCTGGAAACTGAACGTGGCTCCTCTGCAAGAACAGTATGTGCTCTTAGCCACTGAGCCACCTTACCAACCCCAGCTTCTGCTTTTATTCATTCATTCATTCATTCATTCATTTTGAGAAAGAGCTTAATAAAACCTGGCAGTATTTACCAAATTCAGTATGTAAATATGTTGTGACTCAGCAATCCAATTTTAGGACTCTGACCTACCAAATAATACCTGCCCAACTGGATAAAATATATTGTAACACGAATCTTAAAAGGTCTTATTAGGGGCTGGAGAGATGGCTCAGAGGTTAAGAGCACTGGCCGTTCTTCCAGTGGTCCTGAGTTCAATTCCCAGCAACCACATGGTGGCTCACAACCACCTGTAATGAGATCTGGTGCCCTCTTCTGGCCTGCAGTCACATATGCTGTATACATAATAAATAAGTAAATCTTTAAAAAAAAAATAAGGTCTTATTAATAAAAGAAACTCAGGAGCCAGGTATTGGGGTGAATTCTGAAAGATCAGAGAAACAGAACAAGCCACAGCTAACCTCACCTCGCCAACTTCTCAGCCCATCTTGTTTCCTCAAACTGGAAGACTCTGAGTCTTCATCTGCATGGATCTCAGCTGAACTGCTGCTAAAAGCCTAAAAGCTTAAAAAGCCTCTAGTTCCTAGTCCTAAAGCCTTATATACCTTTCTGTTTCCTACCATCATTTCCTGGGATTAAAGGTGTGTGTCACCATGCCTGGCTGTTTCCAGCGTGGCCTTGACCTCACAGAGATCCATCTGGATCTCTGCCTCTGGAATACTAGGATTAAAGGTGTGTGCTACCACTGCCTAACTTCTTTGTTTAATATAGTGGCTGTTCTGTTCTCTGATCCCCAGATAAGTTTATTGGGGTGTACAATATATCTTGAAGACATTTATGCCAATATTTTCTTACTCTATTATAAGAATGAGAATGTCAGTACAAATGTAGGTTGTCTGTAGGCCAGAAAATCTTAGATTTCTTTTCCAAGAATCACAAAGGATCACAAAGGGGTTTGATAGGAATGAGACAAATATTTTTATAGTCACTTTTAGATGTTTTAATATTTACTTGCTGCTGGGCATCACACTGGGTATTTTTCATATATCAACTCGTAAGTTGTTGCAAGCAGCCATACAGAGATTGATGTATCATCGTTGTGATGGAGATGAGGTGTCTTGAGCTAAATGGCTGGCATCTGAAAAAATAATGTGGAGTCTGTGCATCCAGCTCCTGTGTTACATTGGTGTGTCGGGAGAGGCAGCTTTATTTTAATAACAGATTGTGAAAAAAAAAACTGTGTTGTCTATTTTGTTACTTTCTTTTATGTTTCCCAGTTTACCTTTCTTATTTACTCCTTAATAAGTCTTCCTGCCATATTCTCACGTTTGGGTCATTCCACTGCTTAAAGTAGCCCACCCACTTTCATTCACTTGAAATGGGTGTTAGACATGTTAATTAGATTTTGGTTTTTTCTGTGATAGCTGGATTTAAAAGGGACAGTTTTGTTCTGGCTCCTAGTTCCCATCTATTGTTTCTAACTCCATTGCATCTGGGCCTATAATGAGGCTTAACATCATGATGGAAGGGCATGGTAGAAAAATCTCCTCACCTCTAATATCCAGGAAGCAGAGAACAGTAACAGGAAGGGGCCACAGGCAAGATAACACCTGTCAAAGACATGACCACAGCATTACATTTCCTCTAACCAGGCCCCACCTTGCACCGCCTTCCAATAGGTTCAGATTTTGAATTCATCAGTGGATTATTAAACTATTAATAATTAGATTCCTCATGATGTACTGCACTTTGAAAATGCCTGCATAAACATGCCTAGAGGTGTGCTTTAGTGTAATCTAGGCATCTCTCTATCCAGTCAGATTGACAATCAAGATTAACTATGACATATTCAACTCCATAGTCAGGCTTCCCAGCTAATCTTTCCAGTCTAGCCTATCTCATCTCCCGCTCAGTCTCCTACTGTTCTGCTCTGCTACCTGTGCTGTAACTGAGCTAAATTATTTGCTTACTCCTCTGTAAACATGCATTTCCTGTTTAAAAATTTGTGTTTGAAAACTATTTCAGCATTTCCCAGCTGAGAGTGCCAGATACAGTACTTGATCTGCCCAGCCCTCTGCTGTCCCACTTTTCCTGGAGTTGTTTGACTTAAATGAAATGATGTCTGTAAAATGCTTAGTGCCATCCCTGACAGATAGTGATTGTCAGTGTAACTGTATTGAAATAAAGTCGAGAAAAGTACAAGATGGAACTAGAACATCTTGTTGTGGTATAAAGAAGAAAGTGTAATGGGGGCAGAAGCAAAGCTCTCCCTTGTGGAATAATACTGACACAGAGAAGGAGAGAGGGAGTTACAAAATCATCACTCCACCCGAAAGTGAGTGGGTGATAGTTTAGTGAGAAGCAGGATATTTTTGCATAATCTCAGTTCATTTCTTTAGAGTTTGCCTGTTGATTACAAGGGGAAACATAGTAACTTTATAGTGGAGAAACTTGGCAATCAATACTTTAATGACTATAAATTAATGACATGATCAAAATTAACTCTAGTGTTGGGAGAACTAACTAATCCATACTTCCCAAGTGGTATAAGAAGATAGCTTCATCTTCTGGTATTTGTTCTAGGAGTTCACAATTTTCGTCTGATCATGACAAAACATTCCACATTGAGAATTGGCCCACATGGGAGGATGTACCCTTTTCAAACACGTCAGGAACAAGAAAAAAAAGGCAGAAGCTTCCACATATATGTTCCATGAGTTCTAATGCATTGTGTGTGATCTTGAGCTGGATG